AAAAAAAAAAAAAAAAAAAAAAAAAAAAAAAAAAAAAAAAAAAAAAAAAAAAAAAAAAAAAAAAAACCAAAACCAAAAAACCACAGGTATTCGTGTTTACAAGTGACAAATGGTGCAGATGAATTTCTGATCTTTAAGACATTAGAATGCATTATTCGCATCATGCTGTATTAAGCATTATCAAGGGGAGGGTATAATGATTTCAGAGACCACGTGTATCTGAAGTGCCCCAACACTGTCACCCCCCTACACCTCTATTGTCATGGCTGACCAGAGCACAACATGCTGTAATTTGCAATGTGAGTGGCAGCAGAGGCAAAGGTCGCTTTCCAGACTTGAAAGCCCCCTCTTATCATTCTGTCACTTTCCTTGACAGATCTTAGTTACATGTTTAACGGAGTCCTCTGGAATCAGTTCATTGAGCAAGTCTTAGCGAAGTGTTGTGTACGTGTAGGGCATTACGTTCAATTACACGAGAATGCAAAAAGGGAAAAAAGTAAGATAGAGTCCCTGCCACCAATATATTTGCTACAATATATTTCTCTTTTCTGCCTGTTCCTATAGCAACTTGATTTCAGATCCAGGAGCACCAACATGAAATTTACAGTTTGAAACATTTCTCTCATTTCAGTGGGTTATTTTAAACTTTGCACTTACTCATTCCTTAAGGATTAAAGTTCTATAGTCACGGATTACCAAAGGTTGTTTTTACATGTAGTCCTAGACAGAGACGTGGGCAGAGAGAGAGACAGACAGGCAGACAGGCAGACAGATGGACAGAATCATTGTCCTGGCCAGAAACGGAGACAACCCACACTGAGAAAGGGGCTGTATCGGCCCTCTTTCAGGATACGACGAAACCAAGGGCCTGTGTAATAATCCTTTGAATAATCAATAATTGGTGGTAGAAAAAGTTCAACAGCTTCTTACCAAGTATCTATCTATTTTCTTCTTTCCAGGGTGACTCGGGTGGCCCCTTGGTTTGCAAAGGTGCCTTCCATGCTTTAGTCTCTGGAGGTCATCAATGTGGCCATCCCAAGAAGCCTGGAATCTACACCCTAATAACCCAGAAATACCAAGCTTGGATTAAAAGCAAGCTTGCCCCATCTCATGCAAACTACGACCACGAGTGATTTTCTTGGATCCACCAGCTGGCTTGTTGTGTTTTCGTAAGATGTTCTAGAGGCCACTTTGTCTTCATATGTAGTTGGATGTCGTTTAAGTGGAACTCAGTCCGGGACCACTCCTGCCCCCTTAGGACTGATTTTGTCAAGGAATCAAGTTCTTTTCCACATCTATAACTGCTGTATTTTTACTATGCTGATTTCATTCTGAATAAAAGTTAGAAGACTATGGCGTTTTCTTTTTATGGAAATGAGGTCCGGCAAACGATATACCCCCCACTCCACTCACACTCTCACAAAGGGCAAAAGGTGATTAAGCAAGGCCTTAGCCAGGCTCCATCTTCAGCCAGGTTTATGCTGTGATTTCTAACGTGGATTTTATCCTAAACTGCATTTTTTTTTTAATTTTTAAATTTTTTTAAATTTTTTATTTTTTTTAACGTTTTATTTTTAGGACAGGGAGAGACAGAGCAT